GCCTCCTTCTCTTCTTCCTTTTTCTCCTGTTTCACCTCCTCCTCCTCTTCTTCTTCCTTTCTCTCATGTTTCACCTCCTCGAGTGCATCGTCTTCCAATTCCTCCTCCTCATAGTCTTCCTGTTCCTCTTCCAGCTCCGTCTCCGTATAGTGCTCCGTACGATTTTCCTCTTCGAGAGGCTTTGCTGGAGTGGCTGTGCGGCTCGGCGACACAACCAACTGTGAATCTTCCTTCGAATCAAGCCTGGCAGGAATTCTTTTGGCTTTTTCATGCTTCGGCACTTTCTTTGACTCTTCAGCCATTGGACCTGACAGATTTCATGGTGGATAATGTTCCATATTGTATGTGTTTAAAACAAGTTTGCCCATCTGGATCCAGAGAGCCCACCTTCCGGATCTTCAGGCAACATGGACAAGTCCTGATCAGCTAGTGTGCAATACATGTGCGTGCATGATAACCATACATGCATACGACACCATGTGCACATGTTAAGTTGTTACTCCAGCTATGGTCCTGAGATGAAGCCGATCTACCTCTGGACGCCAACTTCTTGCCAGCTGGCGTGAGCATGGACTCAGCCTGGAACATTCGATTAGATTCGATTAGATCCAATCGGTTTTGAAAACTATAAAACCGGGCCTTCAGCTTCGAGTGCACCATGTTTTTCAAGACCCGCATTTTCTCCCTTCCAGGCCTGCCATTTTCAATTAAGAGTGAAGGCTCTATCTGTGACCCATGTCACAAACTGCTTCGATGATGCCTGGCTTTGGGATTACGCTGGAAGCGCGTGAGGATGTACGACACAAAGCTTCGCTGCACCCCAGACTCCACAGAAGCCCAGGCCTGCCCAAGACAACATGAATTCTGCTCAATTGTGAAACAAGTTGGCCCTTGCACCTTATGTGCCTGCAAATCCTCACACTGAGGATTCAATTTGTATGTTTGGCTTGCCCAAGTGAGCGCTTCCTCGCACCAAAAAGATATACAAAGCAGAAGGAGGACACATCCAATTGGCCAGTCCTCGAACGAGCTCTCACACGGCACCCGGTGAGCAAACTGGGCCAAAAAGTTCAGGCAGAACTCGAAGTTGTCTTCAGCTTCAATCTGCCAGAGCAAATGAGTTGAAGTATACGCCTATAACTTGTCGACCTATTAATTTAACATTGCATGCACATATTAAGTAACACTGCCTCGCACTCATTGATGGTATCTTTGCTCACGTACCGGTCAACGAACGAGAATGGTGGGACCTCAATGGGAGCGGATCCAAATCCCCATGATGTTCAGCTCAGCACTCGAACGTACTACTAGATCAACCAAAGAACTGTGCGATCTCGTTTGGGCATGCCCAGTCTAGCTTTCAAGAGCTTGCGACGCTTGGCGATGAAACCATCCAGCTCCAACCGTTCTTTGTAGAACTCCTCCACAAATTATAGAAACTATTTGAATTCAAAACAACTCTCATGACTCATGTATGTACTATACGCGTATACGTATACTGACCGGGTTCATCCATGTGGGACCAGACTAGCTGCATGCTCTCCTTCAGGAGCAGGACTTGCTCAGCACCAGTGGCCATCGAGCACGATCGAGCACGTGTCAAAAAGCCCGGAGTGCGATCCGGGAGGAGGCCAAGCTGAGCCACCCAAACAAGCCACACAGGATGGATTTGGTGCATCAATGCAAAGCGTGTTGCTCAAAACAGTATAGAGAATTGTTGTTCCCCTCAATTCAGGACCATACCAACTTGGCACCTGCAGAGGGTGGGTCTTCATGAACTCCAGGACCTGCCAACCCCAAATCTGCGGCCATGCCTCAGCAATCTCTTCAGGGCTAGCAGGGGAAATTCAGCCCTGGAATGCAAACGACCTAAGATTCATACGTTTTCGAAGGGCTTTTCTCATGATCGCAATCACTGACCTTGGCCAAAGGATGTTTTTCAACTTCATCCCCCATTGAAGCATTGCGCAGTGCAAAAAAACAACTCAGTCAAGTACCAGATCTCCGAAGTTGAAGATCAAGGACATCGGTGACATCAAAGACGTGCAAAGACCAATCAATATTATTGGTGCAAGGCACATTAGCATTGGAACATCATAATTGTTTCAAAGATGTGATGTGATTGTTGATCATGATTTTTATATACTTTTATCATGGTGAGCCAAGTTGCTATGGTCCAGAAAACCACCCGAAAAGGTCGTTTGTTGATAAAAATGTCCGCTGTGCAACCACCTTAATAAAAATAGTCGTCGACCTCCAGGGTATCAGTATTATTATTAATGATTATTTTTATTATTACGATGATGATTATGATGGTGCTGATGCTGATGATGATGTTGATGATGATGAGATGGGTGCCAATTAGTCTAAAAAGAGGCGTGCACCATCCCAACTTGGATCCCGTTGGGATAGATGTGCCGGCCATGATCTTGTCCCACTGCCCACCAGAGTCCAAGATCCTCGAGATTCTCAGGCAAAGTGGGAACAGTGAACTTGGAGGCACGCTGCAAACTGGCACTTGGGGATGATCTCGAGTACTGTCTATGGGTTCAGATAGTTCAGAGGGAAGTGATATTTTATGATATGTTTTTTTTCTATTTGAATGGTATGTATTTGCCTCATTTGGGCCTATTTGGACGGTTTTTTTTCTCCGCCTTGGACGATCCACCTTTGCACTCCGCGGGTCGTCATCGACCTCGTTCGGGCGAGGCCACGGGCAAAGAGAGCGCGGCATGCCAGGGTGCTGTCTTCGAGAACAATGCAGCTTCCCAGATGTTTGGAGTTTCGTTTTGCTATTTTTCGGCATTTTTTGTTGGATGGCATAGCATCCCTTTTTTCAAACCTGGCCGGAGCATAAATATGAACGACCATATGACTTGGTGTTGAGACAATCGGGTCCAGCTTTTTCTCGGATGTGGGCTCGTGTACATTCTGTTCAACTCGGTGCTCGAGCATTTAAATCATCTTAGGTTTTTTCCGATTCTTTAATATTGGCTCGATGCATCGAGGGCCCTCATGGATAATTGGCCCACATCTTTGGGAGATATATATATATATATATCCAGAATCTCAAGATACCTCGATGCCATCTTCTGCAATCGCACCTGAGAACAACGTCATCACCATTGAGAACGACCATGATTGCCGCTTTGGATGATCACCGTGTGGTTGGGGCAGGTGGCGGGTGACGGGACTGGGGTTCGGACCTGGACCTGGGGATAGTGTCCTCAATGCACACTTATATACCTCTAGTGACCGTGTATTTGGAGCAAGGGTTGTTGATCATTCGCCTGACAAGATTTGGGGATCCCGCAAAAGCTCTCATATTTGTGTGTGGATTCGTATAATTGGGGGGGTAGTTGCTTTTGTGGCCGTCGCCGTGGCTTTTGCTTTCGGAAAACCCTCCTCCAAGCCCCTGCTAAAAATGGTTTGAGCCTTCACACCGATGATGTGTTTGCTATTGCATGGCAATCTTTTTGTAGTTTCAGGGGTCTGAGAAAACCTTTGTAGGACATGATTTCCGGGGTTCATCGGCGACCCACGTGGCAAGTCCTGTTTATTCAGAAGGCAACAAAGCCCCTGTGGTTGTACCACGGGCTTGTTGAGGGGCCTCAGGTCCCTCAGGTTCAATGGGGTGTTTGTGTTTGGTTCCGGCTGTGCTAGGGCTGTTAGGGCTCTTGACCATTGCAAACTTAGCGGCCCACATTGGTGCAGCCAGCATTCCCAACCATTCTTGACAAGAGTTGCATAAACCATTTGAAAGAGTTGCGTGCGCTTCCCAACACTAACGGGTCCTTTGCAATAGGTTCTCCGATATTATATAAATCAAGAGCCATATGCGGGGTACGTTTTCTTTTTTGTTGTTGCTGCCTTTGATGCTGCTGTTGCTGCTGCTTTTGTTCGTTCGTTAGTAGTTAGTTACTGTAGTTTAGTTTCGTTTAGTTTGTGGTTAGGTAATGTATGGTAGTTAGTTTAGTCTAGTTTATATATGTTTATATAATATTTATATAGTCTAGATCTTTTTACTTATGTAATGACATGAGAAAGTAAGCAAGCTAGTTACAGGTAGTTAGCTAGTTATCGCCACTTGTCGGGTCAAGAAGCCTTGCTGGCAGCCCAGCTGGGGCTGTCGGTTCACACCAGGTCTGAGCTCTTGCCACCCTGTTGGAATGATGTCTTGTTTAAGGTCCAAATTGTTTTCATCAAGGCAAGTTTTTAGCCATTCTCTCGCTGGGCTTTTCGACTGGTTGGACTTCAATGCGAGGCGGGCTGTCGAACTATGACTACACAGTGAGGTACTGCCCGGACCAGGACCAGGGCGACTCAGAATGACATGGGGCGACTCCGCTCAGAGAAGTTCAGACCTCGAAAGCAATCTGTGGGCGCAAGTCGTATGGCTTCCCGAAAGGCTCCCATTTTCCAATCTCGGGATGCGTGTTCCTACCGACCTCGGTGGTCTGCTCCGCCATGAAAAGGCGGCCGACCTCAAAGAACGCACGTGGCCTCGTACCCAAGTAGTTTGTTGCGCCCACACTATGTCTGTCAGACATCTCAGACATCGGTCCCTGGTCTGGCTGTGAAAATAATCAATCCCATGACTAATCTCAGAACCTCTTCCTTTGAACAATTGCTGCACTTCGTTTTGAAGCTTTTGCCGCATGGGTTAGTGGGAAATTGCATAATTAAATACGACGTATTTCATAACGCCATAAACCGAAAACCTCCGCGTGAACAATGCGTCAGCTGAAGCAGGACTCGCTGATCGTGAATCTGGTGAAGCCTTTCAACGTGAGGGTGGTGTTGAACAGTGAGAGCTGCGCGGGAGAAGTTTGAGGCAGCAAGATATGTTTTTTTACTTTTTTTTTGGGGGGGGGTGTCATCCTGTTCTACCTCAAGTATAGGGGTAGGGGTTTGTTGACAGAGTTCGTTGAAAGTTGTTTGTTGCTTTCCTTTGCTGATCCAGGCCAGGCTTTGTGCTGCAAATTCTTTGTATGTTTCTTTCTCAATATTGATCAGGTGCGTCTATCCGATATTCATGCGAAGCTTCGGGTGGCATGTTGGAGATACCCACCTATGGGCTCGTCCGCTGGCTCGTTGGGATGGGCAGACCGGCAGGCCTCTCGTGTCCCGTATCAGCTCGTCTGAACGCAAGAGGGACCGATCCGGAAGGATGGGTCGGAATGAAGCTGGTTCGTCTGGGGTGTAGCCCATTTCCTGGTTCCAGTCGGTCAACAAGAGAAGGGCCTCTAGCAGAAACTAGAGTTCTAGGCCTCTACTATAGCCATCATCATCCAACTGGGCCCTGGTAATGGGATCTACCCGATAGTGGAAATTCATGGAAATTCGCAGCTGTTCGTGGGGCGAGGGACTGATCGATCTAATTTTGCTGCATTCCGTGCCACAAGTATATAGTCATTGCAATCTTCCAAAGTCTTTGACAATCTTAGGAGAAGTATATCTTCAAAAGTATTATCTTCAAAGTCATCTAATATTGCCTCATCTGAGGCACAAAGAACAAACGGTTTGCTTAAAAGATAGGTTGGCAGGCCATGCAGGTTGACAACCGCCATGCAGGTTGACAACCATCAAGAGACTTTCAAGTTTTGTGCCAGAAGTCTTCGAAACCATTGAAGCACCCCAAAAGAACGCAGGTACCACTAAAGCTCCGTAAATTAGGGGTTTGGATCGGGGTTCATTGCTCATGGATTTTTCTGATGTATGGTTGCCTCGCCACGATTTCAGCATTTGCACGCAGCCGCAGCCTGCGCCTGTGCAAAGCAGGCCTTCCCATGGTCACCGGTAAAAGATGGTGAGGATTCGTTGCATGCCCTCGGCGCAGACAGTGGCTATAGTGACATGGTGTTGCCACTGCAAAAGCATGTTCCCCGATGTTGCCTCTTGATCAGGCCTTTCTTTTTATGTTCTTTTTTCCTTTGGGCTTGAAGTGACTGGTCATGTCCCTTTAGCAAGGTAATTAGGTAGTGGGACACCATTCTCTGGGGCTGTCGCAACTATGTGCAAAGATGCCAAGTTCCTACTGGGGAGGTCGTACGTTTGTCACCGTTTTTGGCAACTTTCCAGCTGTTGCGGAAAACTTGAGCCGTCCATCGTTGGGAAGGCGCACAGCGGCGGCGCAAAAAGTGCTTCGCGGCACAAGAAGCAGCGCACACGAGCGATGTCAAGTGGCGCCAGCTTTGGTTTTTGCCTTCCAGACTCACTTCCCCGTCCCCATCCCAATGTGTGGTGTCATGGTCAGCCTGATGGCTTTGGTTTTGAAGGGGGAGTGGTTGGAAGTTTGGGGGAAGCTTCCCTGGCTTCAAGCGCAACAGCCGCTTCCAATTCATTCAGCGCAAGGAAAACGGCCCGCAGCCAGCACGTGGTCGCGCGAGTGGAAGTGTGATAGGTACTCATATCTGAGGGATTGCACGCATGTAGCTAAAGAGACGTTGAGTGAAAGAAACATGAGTTGCGGATGTTTTGGGGTGGAGCAACTCAGGAGTACGCAAGGGAGTGGAGTGACTGGAGCATGTGGCTTTTCGTTTTTGACAGAACATTTTTTTTTCAGTGTGAAGACTGTGGCGATCTCTTTTTAGAGTCCAAGCGTGAAACACAAAGGACTCGCCCGAGTGGTTTGGTGGAAGAGTTGCTCTGATTGTTTTCTCTCTCCATATGGAGAGCTTAATTGATCAACTACAATGACCCACATGCCGGCAGTCTGTCGATGCCAATGATGGCCCAGTCCGCAAAAACCTTCGTCTCAACGTGGGAAAAAACACATCATGGGGTGATGCGACATGATGTGACCATCATCATCCAGCATCCAAGAAGGTCTGGGATCCACTTACTCCCCTGCAGATTAACACGGAACCCGAAAACCACTGGGTTATTTGCAGGTTCCATGTTCACCTGCAGGAGAGCACGTATATTTTTGTTTGGGTATGTGTTTTCTTCTCTTTGGGGAACGGATGATGGGCCCTGTGCATCTCGACTCTCGCGATCTGTCTGCAGATCTCGTGGGCGGATCTCTGCAGATCTCTAGAGGTTCGAGGGAATCTCTCTGCTCCGATCCTGCCCGAGTCCAAGCCATCCTGCACTTCCACCGCCTGTGAGGCATTCCCGGCCTCTACCGGGGCCTGATGCCCACCATGCTGGGCATTCTGCCTCATGCAGGGACCAGAAGCTTGACGATCTTGGCTCGTCCGCTTTTGTGCAGCATTGCCGGCAGAATCCCCATCGTTGAGATTCATTGATGTTCATTCAGTGTTATAAAAGCAGCAGTACGAAACTATAAGCTTATTCGTGTATGGTTTTGCATCTAGGCCCTGAGTCCATCTCCAGCCTGCGTCAGCTGCACGGGGCACCCTACTGGACCCACCCTGATGTAGAATCTTGATTCATAACCCCCTTTCATATGCGGAGCAAGTAGCTACTAGTAACAAGAAGCTACTAGGGGCTCCTGGCATCGCTACTAGGAGCAAGGACGCTACTAGGGGCTCCTGGCCGTACTACTAGGAGCAAGGACGCTACTAGTAACGAGAAGCGACCACAGCCCCCGCGGGGTCGGGTTCCCGGTTTGGTTGGTGCCCCACTGTCTGACAGTCTGAGCCGATGAAGATGGGTAGGGCATGGCATGGGACACCTTTGGAGTTTGATTGAGGTTCTCATGTTTTGTTTTGGTAATGGTGAATTTTGGCCCCTTGGTCAGCCTTTGCTTGAAAAAGTAGACAGGTGCACAAGTCTCAAGCCGTCTCAACCAAGGAAAGTAGCGTTGCTGGGTTTTCAGTTGGAGCAGGGTGTGCGGCTGCATCCATGCGGGCGACTGTCGACTTCTGGAAGGGGACAGAAAACTGATACACTCCCTGGAACTAACATGGAAGTGGAGAATGCCCCCTTGGAAGACCATTTTCCACTATAAACAGGTGGTGAACTCCACTTCCACGTTAGTTTTCAGGAGTGTAGATCTGATGCTGAAAGTCTTTTCCATGGCTTCCCACTCGACCAAGGCTTCTTGGTCTTTGAAACACTGAAGCCCTGGACTCGACGGGCGTTGGGCCTGTGGTCGGAGCGCCGCTGGTTTCAGCATTCCTGGGGGGGACACGTGTGCCGTCTGGTTTCCGCTCAAGTTTGCAACATGGACATGGAACACCAACGACCTGTTTGGCACCTGGTTTCCTAAGGGTTGCCCTGTCTGGTCATCCAGCCACCCCTTGGATGGTCGTAGAGCGATGCTTCTTGCCCGTGGCTACCACTTGACATGCGGAGTGTCGGAGTGTATGAGTGGGGTGGCCCAAGAGATGGGTCCCCGTGGGGTGCGTTTTGGGGGAACACGTCTACGTCTACCAATGTATAGGGTTTTTGGGGATGGTAATGCCCGTTCACGGGGGTTACGGGGTGCGTCTTCAACCATCCCACCCAAGAATCCCACTGTAAATTCATGTCAGTCCGAAGTCTTCGCGAGAATCCCACGCATCCCTGAGTCCTGGACGGGTCCCCCTCTGCTCCGCGAGTGACGAGTCCTGCCCCATCGCGGAAAACGGCCGAGCCGGACGCATCCGCGACGCTGCCCATACCAGGCGACCTGCCTATTTGGGCGCGGCTGTGCTGTGGCGGTGTGGCAGGGCTGGTGGCCCAGGGCGCCAGCTATCCACTCCACGTGGCATGGGCAAGAAGGTGGTATGGGCCATGGGCAGTGCGATGGGCTTCCAGGGCCGGAGGGTTGTGGGTCAAAAAGAAGAGCCTCAACTTGAAGGTGACTAGGTCAAATTTCCATCATGCGAGTGCGTGGGATTGGGGTCACTTGGTTTTGAGCCGTAGCTGAGTTTGGGTTGAAAGCCGGAAAACCCTGGGACTCACAAAATGAATTGGTCAAAGTCTCTAGCTACCAACGTACAGGGAGCGTTTTCCTTTGCTCTGGCCCACGTCCACTTGATTGCAACATGTTTTTGTCACCTGGTTCTGTTGACTGCACCAGGCTTGCTAGGGGTGTTCCAGTCGCACTTGCTTTCTGCGCACCCCATTAGGAGGAGATTCTTAAATCTATCTTAAACTACCGGCCTGTAGATCGATGAATTCCATGTTTGAGTAGGAATGTTAGCAACCTCACCGCGTTTCACAGAGTGAACAGACATACTGAGGGGTTCCTGGGGAAGTTCGGGGAAGATTGATCTACTGCCGTGGAAGTTGGGAGAAGATCTCAAAAGACCACTTACGTCCAACCTCCTGCACAAGAGTGATGCTTTATGCCATGCACTTGGAACCACTGTCACCCGCGAAGATCTGTGAGTCGTTTCTAAAGCTGAGGTGGTCCGTAGAAGGATGCAAGTCCAACGCTGCATCAAAGGCCAAAACAAGTGGCCCAGCTGCGCTTCAAGGATTTGCAAGTGTATCCGGCAAACAGACACAGACCATAATATAAAAGCCCATAATCTAAATGTCAGTGATTCTATGCCAGCCACTGGTTGTAGGGTTTCGGGTTTGATACATCGTGGGAGCGTACAAATCCACTGACCTGTCCTACAAGCTGAGCCAGGGAGGGCCCACATGAGCCAGTGGGACGGACTCCAATGAGTGAACTTCGAGGGTCTACACCGCAGTGGCACAGGAAGAACCCATGGAAACCGACCCAGGGCCAACCAACCCCAACTCGTTGTCCTCTCAAAACACGTGGAGCCCTGAAAACCTGCATTTCTCTCTGATTTCTATAGCTGATTGCTACAGCCAAAGTGGTTTACTTTTTGCTGTTATAATACGACCGGCTGCTGGGCGACTCCGCCTTCGCCCCCGACCGTCGCCTCGTGTCGGACGGACCGGCCCGTCCCGGTACGTCGCGGTACGTCGAGGTACCACTCGGTCTTGCATGCACTGCTGACGATCCTCCGAAAGGAGGGCTTCGTGCGACTTGGAGGGGTTTGGGCCAAAGTAGAGGAAGTGGACTTGTTTCGTCGACTTGAGCTAGCTGGAGGCTTAGGGGGGGAAGACCTTCGAGTTTTTCCTTCTGGGGTTTTCAAACGGGGCACAACGGGGCGCTCTCAGTTTGCAGGCGCATCGCTGCTTTCAACGTCATTGGCACATGACTGGCACAGTTTTCTGGACGGGCGAATTCGCTAGTGATCTGTTTTGGGCCCCTTCTCTCCGTCCAGTTCCGTAGAGCCAGTTCTCCGCGTTCCTGCTCCCCCCCCACCATGCCGAGACGCGGGCGCGGCTCGCGGTTTTTGGGGCGCGAGAACGTGGCCCAGGAAAGGGCTCTACAAAGGGAGCTCGCTGACATTAATCAAAGGCCCCGTGAGTGCGGCCTGTGGCTTCACGGCCAATGACCCTTGGAAGACCGAGAAATGAATGGCTCCAGCTGCAGAGCCCAGAAAAAGCATAGACTTTTGCCGATGAACAGGCTTCAGGCATTTGGTTGCAAGGGAATTGAAGTGGTTCCAAGATCTCCACCCCTATAGATGTAGTCCAAATAGTCCACACTTTTATGCTGTGGATCAAGCAATGCAAACTGGGGGAAGTGGAACATCAACTGTTTCCAGCTTGCCATCCCATGGAGCCGCCTGTACTGTCAAGCCGCCTGAGGATTTCCTGAAGTCCATCTTGTTGGGCAGTGCCCATTCACCCGAGCGCTGCCCTCCGCGTGGGTGGCCTGATGGCTGCGAGGCGGGGTGGCACGGTTGCAGGGAGCTGCCGCTGCTGAGCCTCAAAAGAAGCAGACGTGGAGTTCACCCCCTGTTGAGTATGAGGAACATGGTCTTTTCCGGTGAGTGTTAAAGGGAGGGTAGATGGTCATCTTGCTTCTGAACTGGCCACTGACTGAGGGGCTGACTGAAGGTCTTGAGGCCATTTTCAACTCCAAGTCTCCAGATCGTGGCCTGGAAGGCCAGGGGTGAATGTGAGCCGTAACCTGTGGCGTGTCCTGGATGGAGCCCAGTGGCTCAGCGGTGAAATCCGAGTCCATACGAGAATTCTTCCACTTGCTTGGCCGCCCGGCCACAGGGCAGAGATCGAGGGTGCGCCGTTCTCGCCATGAATTCGGCTGGTATGAACATCTATGAAGAGGGATGCAGAGATCATGGATTTCCAGTTTAGATCTGGTCTCTCGACGTGGCGCCTTAGACGGTGGCGCCTCCTTTCCGCAGTCAACGCACGGCGCGCGCGTGGCGCGTGGCAGGTGGTCCGCGACCCCAGCAAAGCTCTGAAGAAGCTGACCCCCATCGACCATTTGATGACGGGCGGCGCGGCAGGAGACGACCACTGACTCCCTTCCCTGGACAAGTCCAGGAGGCCTCTCCGTCACGTTCCCACGGAGCCCAAGGAATGGGGCCTCTCCTCACGACCCAAGAATGGAGCCCAAGGGACTCCAAGGCATTCATCGACAGTAATCCCAATTACAGCCCAACAAAATTGGGACAATAATGGGTTCATCCCAACATCCCCATGATCCCATTCCGTAGTTTCTTACTGTTCATCGACAGGTTCTGATGAGAACGGACGCCCGAAACCCATCGAGATCCTTGACGCAAGTGGTTAGGACATGTTAGGACGACTGTGGGAAAAGTTTAAGTTTCGAAGTGTCCCTTCAAAAAACTAGCGGCCTACCCCTCCGCCCCCTTAAAAGAAAAGGTGATTGGGGCTACTGGGGAAACCTCGATGAATCTTCCGGGATGGGGAAACTCCAGGTGATGGGAAGCGCCGGGCTTCACGGAACACGGTGCTCGTTGGGAGGAGCGGTGGCGAAGACGGTGATCGCCCCGGCAGATCGGGTGAAGTGCCGTGAGCTGCGTAGAGGTCGGCGAGGATGGACGGTCCCATGGGTATTTTTCCCAATCGAAACTGGCAGCTGGAGCCTAGGTAGGTGGCTTGTTCTGCCCGTGATGTTTTTCCACCACTTGGGGCTTAGTGAGGAGACTTTTGGCCATGGGGTTGATGGCAGATGTACAGGATCCAGCCGATTTCTGAAAAACAGGCCTCCTTAAGAGCAGTCGTGAATTTCAGGGAATGTCACTCAACACATGAAATGAAGCGATAGGTCTCCTTTGAAAAAACGGTCAGCTTGTTGCATCATGTCCTCTTCATTCACAAGCCAACGGACGGCTGACACTCACTGATGCTCAACACCTGGTCAGATGTCAAGTTTCGGACGCTTTATTTCGAACACTCAAGCCCTCCATGTAGGTGGCATAACGCGATGCGTTGGGCCGACCGCCCTGCTTGCTGCCTGTAACAGTCAGTCAACAAGAACACCACTATTTTAGAGAAAAGCCTGCAACCTAACCATCATCCAGAGTTGCAGGGACAAGGATGATGCATGTAACATAGACATACATAGACAATCGTAGATATAGATGCCGTGCACATCTGTGCACATACACATGTTACACACTCCTTGAAAACACTCATGGCTTCGTGTATGTCGATGTCGGAGGACCAATGAGGACCATCCCAAGACCAAGCAAGGTTGCTTTTCCCACTTCCATGAGTCAATGAGTATTTCGGGGAGTGTATGACAAACCCTAAACCCTAAACCACCCCCCTTCCATTGATTTAATGATTAGGTCAGGTCTACCGTTGGTGGTGTTTTATTGAGGGAACTGCTCTCTCATCTCAACCGGCCTAAGAACTCTGACCTGTTTGGGGGGCAACAGAACCCATTTCTGACAGAGAGTCTTCTGACCGCCCAGATTGGGCTCCAGCCCGAGAATCCGCCTTGGATTCTGTTGTGGTACAGGGAACAGCTGGGAACAGGTCACTTCAAGGAACGATGCAGGTCAAAGCGCCATGTACACCTTGAAGTTGAAGTTTTGAGGGGTTTGGGTGGACTTCTCTTCAGTTTCGGCACTGTTCTATTTTTTGTGCCCGAGGCCATCCATAGGCCGTCCGCACCACACGGTTTCCGAGGATCCTTTACCAAACCAACAACAACCGGCCCTTCTCCTGGCATGGCGTGAGGGCCCTAGGCCTGATCCATGTGTCAAGACGGGCGGGGTGAAGGACCTGTTCTAGCATCAAAACAATTGTATAGCATATTGTAGTTCTGTCAGGGGAAGAAAACAACTGCTTTGTGCCCTTGTGTTCTCCACTGTGAGGTTTCTGGAGTGACTTGGAATAAACTCTTCATGGTGGGCACTGTGTTGGGAGTTTTGAAGCTTGAATTAGTCCAGATTGCAGAGAGCCAAGCGAACAGTGGACCATCATTTTAAACCCCTTGACCAGGTGAGGGTGATAGAACTTTGCTCGAATCCCTTGATGTGCTCACATTTGCTGAAGGGCTTCACTTCAGATTCACGTCTGAACGCAACGACTGTTTGATAATTCCTGTGTTATATTGTGCCGCATTGGCTTGCGCTGCTGTTGGATCACCCAGATGAATAAACCATGCGTGGTGTGAAGGCTCGTAGCCTTGTGAACATGCGATTCAAACTGACCTTATTGCAGCGGGGTAAGAAGGCCCAAGACTGAACGTAGACACATCCCTTGAAAGACCTTTTGTTCGCAGCGAACGTTTCAGCACGAACGCCCGTGAGGTCAGAAGAACGTTTCTGGGCGGAGAGTCTGTGGGTTCAAGGTTTCAATGCGTTCCAGGCACAAGGGTGTCAGAAACATTCCAAATTTGGAACTCGTGGAATGAGTGATGTTTATTGTTTCTATTTGGTTTCTCTCTCTCTCTCTGTGTTTGTGCTGCCTGCGATATACCATGTGAACCCCGTTGGAAATTCCTGAAGATCGATGACGTCAAAGCGACTTTCAATCAACAGTGTCTTCCCAAGTTGCAGCACGTTCAGTGGGAAAGTCAAAGTCGTGGTGGGAACAGTCTGGCCAATCTTTGGGAAAGTCGTGGGGGGGCGTTTGGGAGAATTGGTGGTGTGGAACACGCCACAAGTATTGCCAAGTATCATCAAGTCATGCAGTCCATTCCATGTTCCACTTTGATTCCTGATGTGGACTGTTGAAGCACAAAACCCTACCAGAATGGCCATCTCCAGTCCTAGGGTGTTATGTTGACCGTCTACATGGATCTAGGCCTAGGGAGAGGGTAGGGTGGGGAGAGGGTGGCTTCGTTGGGTTTGGGACTTGCAGACACCTCAGGTTTTTCACCATCTACACCAATACCGGTGTGACGGGCCTCTGGCGTGGGCACTGTGCCATTTAGCTGAGAGGAGCAGGTGGAGCAAGGGGCGAAGAGTGGGACTGGCTTGGGTACCTGGCTTGGGTACCTCGTTTTGCCAGTCCCAGATCGGTGACAGATGGGACCAGAACCTGTGTTTGGGACATTAACATGGATAGTAACTTGGAATAACATGGATATAACTTATATAACTATTCCCATATATGGATGATTTGGGCATGCACCCACAAGGCAGCCAGGTCTGCCCCCCCAACGTTCCCCGATATGTCGATAGAAGCTCCCATCGATGGGCCTTCGCTAGGTACTCTTGCACACATCAGACCATAAGTTCAGCTCGTATACGCGACAGAGGTCGAACAGCCAACAGCCGGACAGGTCCACACCCATCCCATGACTGGTCCCTGTCCCTGTAGAGGTTCCGGTCCCTGCGCTGCGCGTTCGTCACCTTCATCAGCCTGAACAGCGAACGCTTCGAGATCGCCTCTCCCCAAGTGCCCAGGCGACTTTGATGCAGGTGATTCCCAAGTCGGCGACCACGTACATGACCTTTGATCGGCGCGCGGGGGGGGGGGTCGCGTGCGAAGGGCGCCGATGCAAAGGCGAGGGAGGCGCGGTGCTGTCTGTCTCTGTCTCTGTCTGTCTCTGTCTCTGTCTGTCTCTGTCTGTCCTGTCCTGTCCTGTCCTGTCCTGTCCTGTCATGTCTGTTTGTTGTCTCTCTTTTGCTTGGCACGGTGCCCTATTAATTTGCTTCGTAACCTTTGGTTTTCTTTTCCAGAGGTGCCCTCCAAGAATGGAAGTGCATGCAAGGATCACGACGACAGACCCCGTCTATGCTTTTACACAGCCCCAGCTTGTACCAGTCGCAGGGTTGTTGGATAGGGATATATAGAGGCAGGCTCAGCCTCAAACAAACATGGCTACTTCTTCGAATCAACGAAATCATGGCGTGATTGTTGCGGTTGATGTGTTGCAGCGTCTTTCTCGTTTTGTGTAGCGCTTCCGATGCGTCCCGACCCGGTTGGTTGCGGTTGTAGCTACTCTTCACCGGGGAGGATACTGGTCGTCGGGTTCGCTCTTCACATCACCGGCGATCGTCCAGACACGAGGTTCATGTCGCCCATTGCCGCCCCAGACCCCGTGGCACCACCCCCAATGTAAGCAAATGTGGCAGATGGAGTGTTTGGGTAGATATGTAAGGCAATTTGTATATGCATATTTGCCCACAGGGGTTCATGTAGGTAGATATTCAATAGATGGAGTGTTTGGAGACATTTGTGCATCGGAGCACTCCACTGCCGTCTTCTTTGCGCATGTTTGACCGTTTTTGCTTTTATGTTTCGGCCGCGTGAAGTGCGGAGGTACCGCCATTGGATCTCGAAGAGCACTGTGTGGGGCTCAATCAAAGCACAGGGGCGGAGACGAGATAGCGGAGTTGGAGCTTATGGTTTCTGGCAGCTCCAGTGACTAGCTTAGTACGGGACCTTACCTGCAAATCCCTCAAAGATGGACACAGAACTTGTCGCACCCTGCACACACTGGATCAAAGGGAGTTCTGTGGCGGCCTTTGACAAGAGTTGCTTGGTAGGAGCTCACTTGTCCACTAAAAGGACACTGTCACCCCAAAAGGCATGTTCAAGCGGTAGTTTGAAGGGCGGAGTCCCACTGGCCAAATGCTTGCTGCATGTGGGAGATCCAACTCTGACCATGACACCTGGCCCAGATCTTCCTCTAACCAGGAGCGTGTGCCACAAAAGGTTGTCCTTGGTACGAGAGTGTGACGACGGAGCCAAGTCATCCAAAAACCTGCGGGACTCTATTGAACTGTTTGCTTTTGCCCCAGGATTCCCACCAATTATATACTTCAATGGCTCTTACCAAATTGCCATTGCTGCACTACTTACACTACAAAACCAAGGCTTCACTCCACCATCTTGTTCCAGCAGCCCTGCTGGAAGAACATCACCCGACGCAACGCATCTGGGCATCGAACCCGTTTCGGGGCGAGAGCGGCCCCAGCTCAGACCCTGGACAATGTGTCGATCCGCTTCCTCGCGGGCGCGCTGGCGGGAGCGACGGCCACGAGCCTCACCTACCCGTGCCTTGGATGGATGGGAGGCGTTGTGTGGCATACGACGAGCCTAGCAGGGTCCATGTTGGGCCATGCCGAACGCACGGAGGGTCATGTCCGGGTGTTCACCGTGGGGTAGAGCTCACCTGCACCAGGAGCTCCATGGAGGTTTGGATGTCGGGGGTGGTTTGGAGGTTCGGAGGGCCTTCCGGGCCATTCCGCACCTCGAAATGGATCTGCTGATAGACCGTTGATTCATATAAACCCCCGCTATGTTTTGACATCTCCGCTGTAAGGTCGGCATTGGGACACCCCGAATGCCACTTCATGCCCTTTCACCTGGGTCTATGGGAGGCCTTCCTATTCCACTACAAGCCGAAAAACACACGCTGCCTAGCATCCTATAGCATAGATTTCTGGAACATCGAGGAGCTAGCAAGTGGTTTTGGTGGAAATCTTCTGCAAGGTTTCCAGGATGATGCATGATGATGCATTTGACTTCCCAGACTCGCAGCGTTCTTGGATTCTTGGGAAGTTCTTGGATTGCTGCGCGCTTGAGCGCAAGCGCAAGCGCCGCGCTTGGCGCGCCTTGAGGTTGGACATGATGCGAGCGCGCATGGCTGCTCATTGGGACATGACCGGGAGTTGCCGAGATCGGCTGCCGAAGCGTAGAAATGGGGGGGGACGTGAGCCAGTGGGGTCTGGGTCTGGGCAACGTGGTCTTGTCCGTTCTTGGAGAGATGGCGGTTTTGTGGACGGCAAAATCGAAGCTCGACCATCTAAGACTGTGCACTTGTCCTATTGCAGGCCTCAACACTGATAGGAGCAACTTACTCCCTGAGATGGCAGGAGTTTCAAGAACAACAAGAAGAGTCAACCTAACATGTGTTGGGTCGCTGAGAATATGCTCCTTCCTGCATGCAGTTGAAGTCTGTCAACCACTCTTGAGAGAAGACAAGTGTCGACCGTAATCCGGTCCACCTATCAAAAAACACGCGCCCCCCCCCCAATAAGGAAACCTCGGCCGCCTTGGTTAAATTTGGGGGGGCCCTGAAATCGGGGTGGTCCAAAATAGGTTCACCTGGGAAGGGCTTCAAAACCAAAAAGTCACCCAGGAATCTTTTATATCAAATCCTTTATCAAACTCGTTTCAAAAATTCAAAACCTCCAGATCGAAGGTGAGTCCGTGCCATTGGGGGAAGGAAAGCCTGCTGGTGTAAACACGGCGTGTCATGGTGGATAGACAGGGTGGACAGAGGTGGGCAGTTACGTTTCTTTTTTTGGAACCTAATTAAACACAAAAACAAAAACTCCTCCAAAATCGGCCATGTTGGTAGTTTAGTAGCGGTTTGAAAGGGCGGCAATTTAAACACGAATAATCCGTATTTAGGGGATTCCGACATGACTTTTTAAATAGGGGTCCGTTTCTTAATGGGTACTCGGGATTACTGTATATACCTGTGCACATTGGTGCCAGAAATTAATATTCTTCTGAGATTTTGTGTTTGAGCATGTTTGAGCACCAGAGGTTCCGAAGAGCTAGATTTGATCCAGACTTGAGTACGGTCCCAAGGGCTTGACGGGCCTGTGGAGTTTTTTGGGGGGATTCCTGCGAGATGTGGAACCACTTTGAGACACCTTTTTGAAAGACTACTGAAATTCTTGCTATTACAAGCAGTCTATGGGCTTCATATCAGCCTGCTTGGGCAGTCTTTGGTGTCCATCGTCACGGAGGAACATGTCGGAACGTCCTTCCATCGTCAGCAGAGCGGGGGGGCCGCTTGGTCGTCCAGGACGCCGCGCTATCCCAACTATTTTGCCGCTTTCGAACGCGTCCTGAAGGATTGGGAGAGAGACTGCTGAGACCAGATCATATTACAAATGACTCAACTCATCCCAACTCCACTCCTGAAAGACGGGTTTTCTTTCCAGGAAACGGCCTCCCTACGTAGCTTCTGAGAAGGGAGTGGGCATTTGCGGGTCCAGTCGTACCTTTTGAGGAAGTACCACTGGAGCCCTTAGGCTTTGGGACTCCTCATTCCACCACGGTGTGGAACGCTCAGACGGACGGATGGGTGGGTGGTGAGTGGTTCTGAGCTTCTGGCGCTCGCCCACCAGACCATCCACCGGGAGGAGTCGGAAAGGTCAAAGCGGAATGCATCGGGGTTGGACATGGAATACCTTGAAGTCATCCTTCGTGGCCACTTCTTTGGGGGTTGGACATGGGTTGGATGGGAACACTTGGGCCGCGAGGGGTCATGGGTCATGGGGTAAATGTATCATGTACAGTAGTTTCAGAGCTTCGATGGCACAGACCCCCTGATGTCCTAGACAGATGGGGATCCATATAAACCACCTTGAGTGAGTCTTGGGGTCTGTGCCATCGAACCTCTCAATCCACTCTAACTCTTCCAGTCCTCTGGATCGCTTTTGGGGGTTGGCTTCCGACCCGCGGCGGCGGTGTCAGTCATCATCCAGTCATCCAGTCCGTGGGCCCGGTTCCAGGCGGTTCTTTTGGGTGACCAACTGGGTGATGCCTCAGTGTCAGATCATTGCGAGGCAAGACATGTTCTTTTCAGTTCGGATCACTGAATGGAATGCACCTGAGCTTTTTCGGGAGCTGCAGGCTGGTTGTGTTGTGTTGTGTTGTCCTCAGGGTTTGATCTACAGGAGGAGTGTCAAGAAACTTAAAGACTTTCAACCATGGCAATTCTCAGCAGCAGACTCTAATTCTCAGCCTCTCAGCAGATCGTATCTATAATCCATTTATATCAATCCATCCACACATATATATATATAGATAGATAGATAATGATAGATATAGCAGGTCTTCCATTTTTCTTCCTAAACCGTGCTTGGTTGGTCATTCTCAGCTCCGCACCGACCGGTGGCAGGATGAAGGGATCTCTTCTTTCTACAAGGGCATCCGACCGACCCTGATGGGTATCATGCCATACGCTGCTCGGCGGCTTCAAGCACCAAGTACCAGTAGCAGGTCTGGTTTGAGTAGTGGAGAGGAGAGTCGCCAGGCCTTGTGGAGAAGGCAGGCCCTGAGAGTGTTTGTCATATTTTTGTCCTGGCATCTTTTGGCTAACTTGGAGAACTTCCTCATGAGGATGATTCCCTTTCTCACCCGTGGCTACTACCTGTCCTTCACCAGAACTGGTCACCAGGTCCTCAAGTGTCACCTGTCGTGTTTCGAAGTGGAAGGAGATACCTTGCGGGTCCTTGTGGGTCCTTTCCAGTCGAAGCTGTCCTCCATGGAAGGAGTCACTCCTTTTGCCAAGGCTGGATTGAGCTTCATGGCCTATGAGACTCTTAAAGCTCACTTGGTGGCAGATGAGGCCGACGTGACGGTGCATCAGCGCTTGTTCCCTGGCAGCAGAAATTCAAAGGGAGGTGTTATTTGAGCCACACGCACACGCACGCAAACACACACACACACATGTTGTGTTCTTTTTTTTTGGTGGAGGCCTTTCAACACCATCGTGGGGATCTCAAATCTAGCATGGATGGCACAATGGAAGTTACTTCACAAGAGGCTGAAGCTGAGGGTTTGCCATGGTTTGCCCATGTGGACGACAGGTTGATACCAAACCTAGTCTGCAAGTGATAGCTGATGGCTTACCCTCCATCCAACAAACATGGAAGTGGAACATGGCCCCTTGGAAGATGCTTTTCCTGTACGAACAGGCTGCAGGCTGTACGAACCATGTAACCATGATGGCTTCAGGGAGGGTAGCTCCTCCCGTCCCTCCCGTCCACTGCACCCCACAAGCCCGCAACGTGGGAGCTGTTATGGAGGGGCAGTGGGGGGGGGGGCATGAGGCGGATCTTCTTTTGGGGCGGGAGGGTTCTTTGTGGCTACCAGTGCCTAGATCTTGGCTCAGGCCCTTTCAGTGTTAAATCTGATTGCCAATTAACTAAGTGTGTTGTTACCAGTGCCCGTCGTAAAGTCATATAAGAAATAAGAACGTATAAGATTTAATCAGCTATTTCTTAAAAACTGACCCTGGATAAAAATTGACATCTGGGATCTTCACATACATCGTTTCGCCGGACATGTGGTATTTGTTTGATACTTTTATGTGGTTGTTGCTGCTGCTGTTGCTGCTTTTTGCTGTTTCCTCTTCACAGTTTAAGCTCTCTTCAATTCTCCGGTGTTGAATGAAGATCCAATACTCCACGGAGGTGGTAACCTAGCGTAGCTCAGGTGAAGAACCGTGTGCGGCACGCCGTTTGTTGGTTGGAACAGCAGCCAGGATGTGGGGTTTGAAAAGCGACCTCCAGTTCGCATTTATGGAATCTATGGACTGCCCTCGAAGTGGTTCAAGTGGAACTCTCGGCTGAGCCTCAGCGGGTTGAAACCCGCAGCTCCACTTAGGTTCTGTGGCGCTTGTGCAGGCCCCCGTTCACTTTCCGGTGAACCCCGCAGCGCTTCTGCTTCCAGTTCACGGCGACACATTTTCATGTTTGGGTTTGTCCCGATGTGTCACGTGTTGGTCGATCGTCACGCGATGAGTCGTTCGCGATTGGGTAGACTGGCGCCATGAAGACTGGTCTGTCCCTGGTCGCACGTGGAAAAACACTCCGGGTGTGCATGGGCAAGCATCACACGTTCTGGCCCCAAAAAGCCCGGATGACATGCAGGAACCCCCCCACTGGCCGGTGCCATGGGACCCGTCCTGCGCGCGGTTGCCGGGGGTTGCGGAGCCTTTCGCCCCCACGGGCGGGACAATGGACAACGCCACACTCGGTCCTCGGTCCTCGGCCCCAAGGCGTCGTCGGTTTCGCTCCAGGCATTTTCGCCCAGTCCACCACCTATCCCTTGGACATCATCCGGAGAAGGATGCAGGCAGGCTTTGGCGAAGTGAGAGTAGTGAGATAGTGAGACGCATCACATCTCGGTGGCAGCCTTGAAAAAGCAGAGCCGTCCATCCCAAATCTCCATCCACCTCAAGTTCATCCAAATCCATCCAAATCATGTATCTTTTTCTGATCGCTTTTTCTTTCGGGGGATGGATGTTCATTTAATACGTAGAGAGGTCTGATCCCTTTCAGCCGGACTTCACCTAACCCCATGCCGCCCCCGCACTTCCATTGTAGGTCCATCCAGGGCTCTATCGCAACGAGCTGCACGCGCTCCGCAGCTCGGAGACACGGGGGAAGGATGGATGAACCGTCTTTGGAAGGTCTGAAGTTGGATTTTTCATGTTCGACCGTGACACACCCTTTACTTGGGGTGACTTGGTATTTTTGACTGGCTTGTATGCATGGTTTCAGAGGTTGTTTGTTTGTTCTTTTTTTTACTTGGGGTGACTTTGTATTGAATTATAGTATGCATGGTTTCAGATGTTGTTGTTTTTTTTAACCTTTACTTGCAATGATTGTACCCATTTAAGCCCACGGACCCACGGACTCAGATTCTTTTTGGTTCGTGAGTTGAAACCACCAAGCAGGTCGGATGAGTTTGGATGAATCAAGTGGGCCCACCAATGTCCTTCATGGATGGGGCCGTTCATCGAGCTAAGTCGTCGGCCATCGGGCTAAGTCGTGGGTGTGGTGGCCATTTTCTGGTGCAACGCCAAGGGAAAATCCCTGTTCAGCCCTAGAGAATATGATGTGCCGGTCTACAGTGGATCACCTGCAACAAAAGCCCTGCAAAGCCTTTTGGGGGGAGCCTATCGCTCCACTCAACGATCGAGCAGGTGGACATTTCGGCCCCGTTCGGCCCTGGCCGAGCCAGAAAAAAAAAGCAGCGGCCGAAGCAGGTCCCACGTGGTTGGATCGATAGAACAGGTGGACAAAGGTTCTCCATGGTAAACACTTTATTTCAGCCTGTGCTGGGACCTTGGGGCCACTGGTGTGCCGGTCCCAGCCCAGCGACGTCGCACCAAGAAGCGACGTTGGTATGCAGCGGGGTCTTTGGGAAGAAACATCGCCAGCGTGGCCACCCCCCAAATGCCAAAGAAACTTACTGTATCAATAGGATTCAATACACTTCCTGACATAATCATGGTTTTGTGGATGGCAAACGGCCCACGAGTTCGGATGACCATGACATCCGAATACCCAAGAGGTGGTGGTTTTCCACGTCCATGAGTGTTTCAGGGAGTGTCCGGAGCATTTTTGTTAAATCAAATGGACTGAAGACCTTTTTCATCCTTTTTCCATGAGATTCCTTGATTGCTTCCTCAATCCCCTCCCCCCAAGAAGCTGAGCCCACCAACGTGCTTTGGAACACCTCCGTCCTTTTTTTCGCTTTTGTCACGCTTTTCTTCTCGCATCCTCGAGGCGCCATCTATCGCAGCGAAGGTCTCGTTGGAGGTCTCTTTAAAGGCGTCTCCATGAACTGGATCAAAGGCCCAGTCGTCCCCCGGCACGACTTGGCACAGGGGACGGCGGCGCAACGGCTTCGCGAAGGATGAGCTGTTGGCGGATCATTCTTCGCCATCGAAAGAGCAGGGCATGGTTGGGGTCTCCACCTTCCAGGGTCTCCAGTGGATCGTTCTTTCAGGGGTGCAGCAAGGAAGCACAGATGTCAGCGTTTTGAGGCAGCTAGTTTCTGGCGGGATACGCCAGGAACGAAACCGTATCATGGAGTGAAAGTCACAGACTATAAACAGAATGGTCTTTGGGTGACCTGAAAAGGGACTTCCTTTACTTCAGTCAGTCAACGTATAGTCTTTGGACTTCTAGGGGTTAGTTTTCTTTGCAACTTCACCCTCTCCACGTTTGTAGAGGAGGTCGTCTTGCAAGGCAACATTGTCACCGTCGATCAGTCATTGTTCGAGAATGTTCGACACATGTAAGAAGTCATGTATATAAGTTATATAAGCCGGATACCTTCTTTTTGCCCGCTGGCTGCAAAAGAAAAGACCGGCCACTGAGGCAGTTGGGGTCTCCTTCACAGACTCTTGGCAGCTTTTGGCACAGGAGATTTCACACAGAGCCTCTCCAAAAAGAACACTATTCTTTTCTTTTTTTCGGTGGTTGCATGCATTTCCTTCAGGATTCTGGAAATCATCCAATATAAAAATCCGTTGTTTGACTTGTGCCGTGCTTTCCAGCCGCAGAGATGCGAGCGAGAGATACGAGCCTAGGTCAATGATATTTTGAAGAAGCAGCTGATGCAGCAGCACAACTTTTAATGCAAGTCCCGTCCCCTTCCGTGCGTTTTCCCGGTCTTGCGCAGATGAAGATTGCGGGCCCACGCACGGCCACATGCCCGCTTTCGAGGGGCCCTGGAACAACCTGGCTAGGTTAACCAAACGGCCAACGACTGACCTTCCCTTCTTGCCGTTCTTCACTGGAAAAAAGACACCGTTCTTCCGACTTTCATGAACAGCGCCGAATGACCGGTGCCGAATGCGCCCCGTGGCCTTCTTCGCGCATGCCGTCAGACAGGCGGTACAGATCCGCCAATGGGTGTGCATTTCGACTCGGGGAGAGTGCCTGGCCCAAGGGGTTTTGAGCAGGTGTTCAGAACTAGCCATGTTTTGGTCGATTCTCGTTCTTTAGAGGGGGTTTTCCACTGGGAGCGTCTCCCTTTTTGGATGCACACCCTTATAAACCTGCAAGTGGAGAGGTCTCCAGATGGTCACGTCGGTGAGAGGACGGATAGGAGTTTCGCCGAAGAGCCCTACCATTCCGACTTGGGGTTCCCAAAGCTGCCCGAGGGCTCCAGTCGTACCTTCGTTTCGAAGGTGGGACTGGGGTGAGTGCCAGGAGGGTCTAGAATGTCTTCGTTTCGGAGGCATGACTGGAGCCCTAGGGATGGAGAGGAGCACTGACACCTAGACCATCCGCCGACACCATGTGCGACTGTCTCCCGGCACAGCTGGTGCAGGGGCTCTGATGTGCAACCCTCTTATATAGCTTGTGCGATGCAGGGCATGACCTCCCAAAAAAGGCCGCGTGCCGGCGTCGCTTCCAGAACTGGCTCCAGTCCCCCAGTGAAGGGTTTTGACTATCTTTTGACTCAGCCCCAGGTGTCAATCAACTTTTGGGCCCCTTTGACGATGTATGGGAAGCTTGCTGTCGCTACCGCCACCGCTATCGGCTGGTTGCTATCAAGTTCTGTCATGAAGGCAGACATACCCGGTACATTTTACAGATACAGGTCACCCAAGGCAGGTGCCACTGGATGCCGCTGGTTGGGGTGGATTTTCTCCCAGCGAACTTGGTGCAAGAGCAGCAGATTTTTGGTGTTGCCGTTGGCTCCTGGCAGGGCTATAGGTTTAGGTTTTTGGTAGGCTGTTTTGGTAGGCTACAATGATTTATATGTATTCATGAAGTGGATGAGGATGCGACACTGTAGGGGACACCATCGTGGAATGAATGCATGAAGCAAAATAAATATGAGTCGAGCCAAGATGAGCCAAGCCTTTGGATTTTTGGGATAAGCCAACCAGTTCATCCCACACCGTCCCAGAAGAATTGGGGCCTCTTTCGTTCCAAGGTACGCGCAGATGAAGACTCGGAGGAGCAATCTCCGCAAATCACCGGGGCGAGGTCGCACGACGATAGTGAGACTCGAGCACAGCCTGTCCCACTAGGTGGAGTGCTAAGCTTTGCATAGCTAGCTAATGTTGGATCCTGATTAGTAAATAGGCCCCCCCTACCTCAAACAAACAGGGGATCATCTATAATAAACTATTACCAAAACAAATCTGGATTCCTGTGAGAATTCCTTTTTGTAATTGATTGTAGTATTAATTTTCCTTTCATAGATTGTATTCAGCTTCCTTTCTCAAGGAAAGGAAGATTCCATGAGCAGTTTTTTCACAATTGAGAACCCAAAAACAAATCTATTATTGAGGATCAGGTGCCTTCCTGGTCTACTACCTTGAAAATTTGTTTAGGAGCAATGTTTAGGAGCAAAATTTGCTTTGCTGCTGGCTGCTTGCCTGGGAAGGGAGGGGGGAGTGCAGGTGGACAGGGTTCAGAAGGAATTCAAACCCTTATTAATTAGGTTTCCAATATAAAAAATAGGGTCCCCAACCAATTTAGCATTATTCAGGACCCATTTTTCAATCATGGGGTCTGGAATAATTTTGGAAACATTTAGCATTATATTGAGGACCCATTTAATAATCAGCATCCAACATTAGTGATGGTGGGGTTTCATCAGAGGGCTAAAGGGGTGGAGTCTTAAAGGGGTTGATAGTGAGCAAAAATCTACATAGTCCAGAATCAAGTCTAGGGGATCAATTAGTTAATAGAGCTACTTCTTATCCTCCGCGGAGGTCCTCAGGACTCGGAGGGCTGTGGAATGCTGTGGAAGTTGTTTTTTTTTTCTTCTCGATTTCTCACCCCACATTGGTCTCCATTTCAGTTGCTGAAACTTGATGGGTTCGATTTCAGAGGTAAGTTTTTTGAAGACATCCATGACAGGTTTTGCCAATTTGAGGGGTTGTTTCGATGGAGTCCGGCTATTGAAAACTCCTGCGAGGTGGCACTCTTAGAGGATCTCCCACTATTTACAGTGCTTTGAGAACCTAATCCCATCAACAATACCTTGCCGCTTGCCGACTTTTGGTTCTCGAGTGAACGGAAGGGCAGGCACCAATTGAATCGGCACACAGCCGGCCTGCATTCACTCAACGACGAACGTCCACAGCTCCACAGCTCGCTGAAAACGGAGCTTGGAGATGCTTGGAGCGGAGCTTAGGGTACTTATATGTCACATATGTCACTTGAACCAGGAGCTAAGAGCTACATGGAGTTCCTATCCCGTGTGCCAAAAAAAGTTGACACAGTCTAATGACTAACATGTCAACTCTTAAAGGGAACAAACAAGTGAGGCGTTTGTTCCTCTTGCTCGGGAAGCACCAAGAGTTACTCATTGTTTCACTTGTGATCATTGAGCCGAGAACTCTCGAATTCTCAGCTGGTTCTCGTCTGTTGTGACCTGGGTGCCACTTGATTCCATTATTGGCGGATTCATCGTGCTAGCCTCCCAGCATCCTCCAGCTTAACTGATGGAAGAGCACCCTCATGTAACAATCACCAGACACTCCATGGGAATATTTGCCTGTACATTGAAAACGTTGAACAGTTAAGGTGTGAGGTCCAGCAAGCTCGCCAGGACAGTGCTGTTCTACAGCGTGGCTTGGGGCTGAGGTGATATGTTCGGCAGTCACGTGGTTTTCAGAATCTGACCATACCAGGAGTTCTCAAGGTAGGCGTGTCCATCACAAAGATCCACTGACTGGGTTGGATTTTCCAAGACCACTAAAGCCCAAAGTATATCTCCCTAGTTACCTCCCTTCTTTGTAAACCACTCATTCTTTTTCTGAAAAAGGGGAGGCCAAAAGGCCAGTAGCTTGAAGGCTTTCTTCTACTTCTTTCTTGTTTGAAGTATACCTCCCCTCCTTCTTTATAGTTAAATACCTTCTTCTTCTGATGTGTGGCTGCTTCTGATGTGCGACTCTGCACCGAGGCTCAAGAAGCCAGCGTGCGCCTCTGGGAGTTCCGTGAACGGGTGCGGCCGGGCCGGTGGTGCCGATGAGAGAAGAGACCCGAAGAGGTGTGGCGCGAGTTGAGGGCCGGGAAGCCAATGCCATGCTGAATCAGCCACATCCAATCATTCTTGACTTATCTCCATTCTCCACCGGTCACAGCTGATGAACTCCGCTGCGAGGACCTGTCGATCACTTTGTGGGCCTTCGCGCGCGTGGAGCTGCGCGAGGAGCCTTTGATGCGGCGGATCGGTGCCTGGGCGAACGAACGTTTGGCGGTGGATCTTCCGGGGGATCTAGTGGAAGAAGTACAAATGAGGAGGTTTAATTCATTGGTAGCAATTGGTAGGGAATCTAAAGGACATGTGACATGTGTGGATCAATTGGGGTATTATATTGTTTGTGGTACAAACATGATTGTCTCAGCTGATGGCAATCAGGCTAATTTGTATTGAACATGCATGAAAAACATGGAACAACAAGATACATTGTTTCCCTTGGCGTCCGTGTCCCCTGCTCCTTGGTTCTTCAGGGTCCTGCCCTGGCCCTGTGACTGTGGGCCGCCCGGACAGACCACCTCGGTGAACTTTTGGTGCAAATCCCACAGGGGCATCAGTTAGGAACCATTCCAACTGGAGCATAGCATAGCTTTTGTAAACCACCCGCAGGCAACATTTAGAGCAGAAAGACCATTTTGCAGTCACTTGCAGCCACTTGCAAGTGGCTGCAAGTGACTGCTATATCATGATTTGGGCAGGAAGGAGCTACCTCTCATATTATGTTTTGTCATTGTGGGCTACCCAGGGATGAGATTTGAGCAGGAAGGAGCCATGCCAACTTTTGTGGCATTGTAAGTGCAAGTTGGGAAGCTGCACACGCCTTGTTCAGGAGGGTTTGCATGGTGAAAACAAGACTTTTCAGATCCGATCACTTGAGTGCAGAAGGCCCATGAAATGATTGGAAACCACTTGTCCCACCATGAATCCCCAGAAACTCGCGACTCGTGAGCCATGCTGCTTCCAGGGGATGTTCCAACTGGGCCCACCAGTCGGTTTGTCACGGGCTTCGTCCGGGACATGGGAAGAAGCATGCAGTAGACTCAGTAGACCACAGCAGACTGAGCGGTCGTTGATCCCTCAGCAACTACTCTGGAGGCATCAAATGCAGTATCCAAATAGATCCGGAGGTGGTACCTGGAGCGCTAGGGATAATGTATGATTATATATATATATACAAAGATAGATAGATAGATAGATAGATAGAAGTTTGAATGACCACCAACCACTCAAAATGAGGCCTTTTCCTATCAAAACAGAGGTCAATTGGGTTCTGGGTATATAGATCGAGATATGCCTTCCATGGATTTCCATGGAACATTTGGGTTCTGTGGGTCTTGGTCAGTTCCTGGTTCTTCGCCCACGTCTTCAGGGGACGAAGCAGCACGCCTGGCGAAGTTATCAGATGGGCCTTGGATGGCCTTGGGACGGAGAAGCGTGGCCAGTTGCCTTTCAGATCTTGATGTGCAGGATTGTGGCTACAAACAAAGTGTAACTCCAACTCAAGTGCTACGCAACCAGACATGCCAGTGTCCTACTGTACATGTCCAGCTTTTGCTTGTCATGTAGCTTGCGACCCCAAAATGCTTGGCACTAGCGGTTTTAGAGGCGCGCCCTTGGGATTCCTGATCCTTTCGCCAGTTTGGCGCGAATTCGGCGCTACTTTGGCGTGGTGCCAGTGCTTCTTGCAGCGAATCCAGAGTGACCAATGACCAAGAGAACATCACGA